ATATGCCGCACAACCCTATGTTTTACCTTAATAGTGCATGTGATCTTCGATTTCACGATATATTTTTTGACGAAACTTCATAGAAATAGTGGCACAGTTTTAGTCATAAAAGGAGTTCCTATGGGAAATTGCATTGTCTATATTTACCATGTTTACAGAGGTGCAACATACAGTTCATACAAATGGTGTAAAATGATTAACAGTACAGATGTCGTATGAATCAAATGACCCATTGGTGGCCTACGGCTGTTTTCTGTTCTTTGGTCGGGTTGTTGTCTCTTTGACATATTTCCCATTTCAATTCTCGATTTTATTCTAATATTTTAAATATCAACATGACACATGTAATCGACACTTTTTTACGTCATAATTGTTCAACAAACAATAGACATTTAGCAACAGGCTTTGTTGATCAGCCACTTGATTTATAATTGGCGTATCTAATACACGAAGTATTCATAATAGACTGCAAATATTGACTGATCTCGCCTCTGTCTAAAAACATACGATTATTATGTTTACATTTAGTTAATGATTATGATATTTTATATGATAATTGTTGATAAAAATGATGGTTATTAATAATTTAATACCCATTCTTTACTTGCTAATCAAGATTGAATTGTTTCTATATCGCTAAATACAATATTTGCAATATCATGGAATAAATTAAGTTTCCCTCTTGTTTGAGAAACATTATGCAATTATATCAAAGAACAGAATATTTGGTAATATCTTTGAACTAAAATGATCGATACAGTTTATTCAAACATGCACCTACTTAATATATCCATGAAAGTTATCGATGACATCAGACTACGTTTTAAGGCAGTATTTATTACTACCAATTGAATGGCTGCCATTGACAACATGTCTGACATTAATGTTGGTTCCAGTTTAGACAGGAAATTTACGCACGCAACTAATTTCCTTTTATGGAAAATGAGAACAGGAAAAGTTATTATTAAGGAAATATGGTATTCGTTGAACACGATAGAAATACTCTATAAAATAACTTTACAGTTTTACAAAGTGTACTTTTATGTCCAGAGATTAGGCAGTTTTACAAATTGTACTTTTATGTCCAGAGATTAGACAGTTTTACAGCGTGTACATTTATGTCCAGAGATTAGGCAGTTTTACAAAGTGTACTTTTATGTCCAGAGATTAGACAGTTTTACAAAGTGTATTTTTATGTCCAGAGATTAGACAGTTTTACAAAGTGTACCTTTAGGTCCAGAGATTAGACAGTTTTACAAGGTGTACTTTTTTGTCCAGAGATTAGACAGTTTTACAAAGTGAACTTTTATGTCCAGAGATTAGACAGTTTTACAAAGTGAACTTTTATGTCCAGAGATTAGACAGTTTTACAAAGTGAACTTTTATGTCCAGAGATTAGACAGTTTTACAAAGTGAACTTTTATGTCCAGAGATTAGACAGTTTTACAAAGTGTACTTTTATGTCCAGAGATTAGACAGTTTTACAAAGTGTACTTTTATGTCCAGATATTAGACAGTTTTACAAAGTGTACTTTTATGTCCAGAGATTAGGCAGTTTTACAAAGTGTACTTTTATGTCCAGAGATTAGACAGTTTTAGAGAGAGAAGTTAGACAATTTATATACATTGCTTTGTGTAAATTGGTATCAAATTTTGATATACTAAAGCAATAAAGACGTTATTTTTAACATTGTATATGTACTTATATTCCTTTTCAGTGCGTATATATTAAATACAAAAAGGCAACAAGTATGTGTACGGACCACAAGTAAAAGCAATTATACAACAGAGATCGTTCAAACATAAAGCATTTACAGGTTCTAGATCTATTAGTGGAACAAGAATTCAGTCTTACTCTGAATTGACAAGGATTGCAAATTTTCTTGCCGAAGGTCGGTGGTTCTCTCTGGGAACTCCGGTTTCTTCCACTAATAAACACTTGTCGTCATAGTACTGCCAAATTAGCAGGAAGTGTCGTGAAACACAAACAAGCAAACACAACTTCTTTCTCTTCTCAAGCACATACCATTACATTCGGGATTTGATGAGGTTTCTGTTGCTGAATTTATATTTTTCTTGTGTAATGTAATTATGGACTGCTTGTCTGTTAAATATTTTGTCTTTTGTCTAAACTGTCGTTTGGTTTCCATCTGGTAGTTATTAATAGTCCTTTAGAAAACCATCTTACCTTTCTAGTATTTAAGTGCCTTCAAAACCGTGAGTGATATCAAAGGCTTTTACATGGCAATCTGTTAATGTTAATTTTTGCATACTGTGTATTTTGATAATGTTTTATTGGATTGTGATAATATGGTGATTTTGATAATATCCTCTCATATATCCTAAGTGAAGATTACAAATCTTGATATTATGCCAGCTGTATTTTTTTACCGTATAGCTGTCTATCAATGAACACTTTACGAATTTTAACTTTTATTTAAACTACTGATTCCAAATGACTTTACATGTTCTCAAGAACATACTCTGTGCACTAAATGTGCACTTAAAGCAACTTGACTCATTTCAAGATTATTGTTCTAAATGGAAACTTAAAGTAATGCTGATAAAAGTAAAATTGTGTTTTTTTTTTCTATAGATTTTGTATTGAATTAAATAGAACTAGAAATAGTGAATAATCTTTAAAAATATTTAGGGATATAATTGGCTATCAATTTGACTTTTAAGAGAGCTAAACTGTGAATAGTCATCAAAGCTAATAAGGCTTTCTATGAAGTCCGAATATTAGGCAGAACTCACGACCTCGCAATCAGACACAGCTCGATTTTTTTTATAAAATTATAAATCTATATTACTATGGGTGTGAAGTATTGGGTTTAAGTAATATCGAAAAGTAAATTAAACATTTTGTAAATTGCTGCTACATTTAAATTAATTCATTTACACCATCTCATATGATATATGGCGAACTTGGGAGATTGCCGCTAGAAATTGACATAAAAGGTTGAATGACATAATGCCGGGCTATTTTCGTGTTTTACCGCCCAAGAACAATTCCCCATTTAGATATCATTTGATAATTCTGACGCTTCATTCTTGGTTATTATTGGTATTTAGTTAAAGTATAATAGCTACAATAACGCTAAAACGCATAATAACAATGGTTGTATCAAAAAGGCACAGTGCAACAACCTCATAAGTTAAGCATACTGATTGCATTGAAATATATTTATCCAACGCAATCATAGGTTTGAACGTTGTTTTCAATTTAGACTTGATTATATATATATTCGTGTCTAAATTGAAAACAACGTTCAAACCTATGATTGCGTTGGATAAAAACCGCAATTTTTATACGTTTGCATGCAAAACAAATTTCTTGTTAAAGGGGTCTAAATACAGCACAAACAACATTTTCCAAAAGACCAGAAAAGTGAAAAAGTATATTTTAACAAAACGCATTTGACTAACAGGTCGAACAACAAATGTTCTTAAACCCTGCTGACTGCCATTGGCGATTGCCAAATAAATGGATCACCGATGTAATAAATGGATCTTAATTATAAATTTTATACTAAACAGAAAACAAATATATATATATATACCCTTCAAAATTCAAAAGTCTATCCTAAATTGAGATAAATTATATGGCCTTCCAAATACCGTTTCGATTACTAACATCACTGAAGAGACATTAATTTTCAAAATCCGGATATGGTGTACAAATTTTTGCACCTCATGTTTTCGGTATACCATCTTTTCCGCAAGTTTATTGTTTTCTGTTTGGTATTAAATTAATAATAAAGAACCATTTTGTTACATCTTGTGATCCGTTTATTTGGCAATCGCCAATGGCAGTCAGCAGGGTTTAAGAACATCCGTAGTTCGACCTGTTAGTCAAATGCGTTTTGTTTAAATATACTTTTTCACTTTTTTGGTCTTTTGGAAAATGTTGTTTGTGCTGTATTTAGACCCCTCTACCAAGAAATTTGTTTTGCATGCACACGTATAAAAATTGCGGTTTTTATTCAACGCAATCATAGGTTTGAACGTTGTTTTCAATTTAGACTTATATATATATATATATATATATATATATATATATATATATATATATATATATATATATATATATATATATATATATATATATATAATGTATACTGAATTGTTTAGAACAATCTAATGAAGGTTGTAGTTTTTATAGGATATAGTTCAGATCTTAGTTGATCTTCAAGTAATAAGAACACAAATACAGAGCACTCTAAATGGCAGAAATTACACTCATTTCGTAACAGAGGAAGCAAGGGTAATAAATCAGTGTTTTTAACCCAATACATCATTAAAAATCATAACTTTTGGAACAGTAACATTCTAAACTTTACTCCATCAATAATCGAAAATGTCGTTCATGCTGTCACTCCAATTATATGTTAAGAACTCCACGGACGTTTAAAGTAAGACAGTTCATGCTTCAGATTACTAATAAGATCAAATGAAGAGTTGTATTTTTTATTCAACTGCAGAATATGAATATATTACGTTTTTTCTCAATAATGAAATATATATGTATTTTTTAGGTAATTTTAAAACCGATATCATGCCATATGTTGGCCTCTACATATGTCTACTAATTTTATATGCTGTCATATTGACGTATACCCAACAACTCCTTTTATTTATATAATGGTAGGAAACTTTAAATTCTTCATCTCAGTCACACATTCTAAAATAAATTTCAAGTTTAAAAAGAGAAAGATATGCCGTAGTTAATGAAGATAGTTGATTTGATCTCACACTTCCTTAGAAACGCATCAGCAGTTTGCAATACACAGATGGTGATTGATTATCTGTATTCTTTGAAGTAAACTGATGAAAGGGAAGAAGAAATATATTTATTCATTGATTAATTATTCTTGTCAAAATATTTATTAATTTATAGTTATCTTGCGTTAGTAACCACTGCTGGAATTAACTCTTTTTTTTCTCTCTTATAAATCAAATTGTTCTTTTGATTTAATGTTTTTTTATTTATTTTCCAGGATGTTTAGAACAAATTCAGACTCAAAAACCATTTTCAAACAATTCAAAGATTTAAAAAATGACGATGAATTACGTGTGAGTGAAACATTAGAACAGCATGCTACAGGAGTTATGAATATTATAGACGACGCAATAATGAACATAGAAAATGTGGACTATGTATTTGAACTATTAAACTCTACTGGAAGAAGACATAGTACGTTTGAAGGATTTTCACCGCCATTCTTCTGGGTAAGAGTTCGTCTCAGTAATACTTACCTCACTAACATGTAATACTTCCCTCACTTACATGTAATAGCGACCCAGATCATGAATACTTCCCTCATTTTCATAGTGACCCAGCTCATGAATACTTCCCTCACTTACATGTGATAGCAACCCAGCTCTTTTGTAATCTATGAATCAATAAATGGTAATAAAATTAAAGATCTAATGATAAAAATAAGTAATATATCCCTTCTTTTAAAAATAAAGCTCCACACAGAATCAAATGATGAGAAAGCAAGTAGAAATATGCCAACGTTAAAAAGTGTGAAAATCCATGTACTGACGATTGGTATGCTTTTCTGACGAACGTATCAAAGCAGGACATGTTCTCTTATCATAATGTTATTTCCAGCCTACATTAACTTAAGACTTCTTAATTATATTTTGGAAAGCAAATATCTATAAACAAATATTAATCATACGAGGTTAAAACCTATAGTCAAAAATGCCTTCCTTGATAGAGAATAGATACAATAGCAATATTTAATGATGATGCTATTGATGTGTGTTGATAGCTCCAACACTGCTTTATGTATACATTCCATTGTCAGTGCTTTATTGCTATTTTTATTGTATGTACACTCTCCTTCTTCATTGATTTCTTCTTTAAGATTCAAACATTTCTCATCACCAAAATTCAATCAACGTGTGCTCACAGTATTCTCAGTCAATGATTGGCTAATCAGAAGAAATCGATGTCTATTTCCTGGTTTCAATTATTTTTATTTTTAAAAAAATCCAATGAACGACAGGCAAATTCAAAATGAATTAATTGAATCAGAATACAATTCCTGGCTTTATTTCGTTAGAATTTTGGTTTTTATTAGGAATGACTTGGAAACAACAAAGGATGAGGTAGTTCCTGATCAACTAGTTTCTCAGTCGTGTTGCTCATGAGGAGTAAAAAAGAGTTATAAGACGCATTCGGTGACGTGATTTGGAAGATTGGGGATTGCATTGATTGATTAGAGTTAAATAGATATAAGAAGATGTGGTATGAGTGCCAATGAGACAACTCTCCATCCAAGTCACAATTTCTAAAAGTAAAACATTATAGGTCAAAGTACGGCCTTCAACACGGAGCCTTGGCTCACATCGAACATCAACCTATAAAGGGCCCCAAAAATGACTAGTGTAAAACCATTCAAACAGGAAAACCAACGGTCTAATCTAAACGAGAAACGAGAAACACGTATGAACCAAATCAACAAACGACAACCACTGAACATCAGGTTCCTGACTTAGGACAGGTGCAAACAAATGCAGCGGGTTTAAACGTTTTAATAGGCGCCAACCTTCACCCTACCTGAAACAATAGTGTATCATCACAACATAGAAAGACACACTATAAAATATCAATTGAAATGGCTTAACTCAATCAAAAGACATGTTAACAAAAACAAGCGAGCATACACCGAACGAACAAATTTGATCCACGACACAATGCAAATACAAAAACCAACAAAACAAGGGAGTTAGGTGTTTAACAATATCAGAAAGACAACCATAACCCTGGACAAAACGCCGCCGCCAAACAAAACAACGCACACAGGCAATCAAAAATAATTTTGCTGTAAGGCACACATGGAGCACGGAAATAATTTTTACAAAACAAATAATCTTGCCGCCCCCAGCACGAGAACAAAAATGAGAACCCATCGTCACACTAAACACCTACCAAAAGGTGGTATATATCAAAAATATCGAGACTAAATAAAACACTGAATTACCAAACATTAAACAACAAAAATACATTACAAATTGCACCAACAGGTCAAATCAACACGAAAGTACGACCTGAGAGTATTCGCAGTTACTGAAAGCTAGTTAAAAGCCAAAAACAATTACTAGTGATAATAAAAAATCATGCATCAGAGACTAAAATCAACTAAAACACATCCCAGGGATTTAGTGTTTTAACGTCATAGACAGTCAAAGAAGACATGACTTGTGCAATGCCAAAATAAAAGTATCAACAGGCAGTAGGATAGTTAGGAGTTAACCTGTTAATAAATATGTATAATGTAATATATAGATAGAGTAATCTCTATATAGAAAATGAACGTGGATGTGTATTTATACATCCCAAAAAACCGTTTGAAAAGAATACCAATTTAGTTATGTTTTAATCTGCTAATGAAAAAATCGATATTTGTGCCAATGTAAACTATATTCAAAGATCTAATTACAACATTGGTAAGCTAACCTTTACTAATAAGTTTGTTTAAAGGTTCGACGAGTTTAAACAGATCACATAGTGATTTCCGCGCTTTTAGTACAATATTACCGTAAAATTTAGGAAGTTTTCTACAAGTACAGCCAAATTGACTAATCAAATCTTTGTATCTACAAAAGAATTTAGTAAAAGTTTTAAGCAATTTATGGTAACGAAATCCCTGACTTAATATTTTACCAGTGATGCATTGATTACATTCGTTAAAATCTATGACATCACTACACACACGGGCATATCGAACGAGTTGGGATATATAAACACCGTATGATGGAGCCAAAGGAACATCGCCGTCTAAAACGAGAAAATTAACAATAGGGAATGAAAAATCGTCTCTTTTGTCGTAAATTTTAGTATGGAGTTTCCCTTTAAAAATTGAAATGTCTAAATCTAGAAAAGTACAACTACTGCTGTTTATGTTAGATTTATTTAAAGTAAGTTCCTTTGGGTAAATTTCGGTCGTATATTTAGAGAACTCTGGATTATTTAACGAAAAAATATCATCAAGATAACGGTAAGTATTGTTGAATGTATCAACTAAATGTAACAATGACGTGTCTTTACTGAGCTTGGTCATAAACTGAGATTCATACCAATACAGGAATAAATCTGCTATTAAAGGGGCGCAGTTAGTGCCCATAGGAATACCACCTACCTGTCGATACATTTTATGGCCGAAACGTACATATATGTTGTCCAGGAGAAAATTTAATGTTTCAATCATATCTTTACATTTCAAGTAAGTGTATCAGCATACTTTTCCTTTTTCGTTATAGAAAAAGGCTTTAAACGAGTTACAGCAAATAAATTTGCAATGAGATTTTTCAAAAGACCATTTAATTAAATATGAAAACGTTTTCTTGATAAGATTGTGTGGAAGTGTAGTGTAGAGAGTAGAAAATCATAACTGTCAACAGAATTAAAAGGACCATCAAAAGCACGTATTTTATCTAAAACCTCTAATGAATTTTTAACACTCCAAAAATAATTAATACCATTATTTCCATAAGCTTTATTACAAAAGTTGATAACAAGTTCTTTGATAGTAGTAAGGGAGGTAGTTAGAAGCACTGACAAATTAGTAGTAGAACACATACTAGATGTGGAGATGAAACAGAATTTAAATGGCTGTTTGTGTAATTTAGGTAACCAGTACATAGTCGGGACTTTCAAATGTTCGGAAGAGGCTTTAAGCTGGGTAGTGGCGGTGATTTTCTTGTTTACAATTTTAATCTCTGTGGAGCGTACGGACCTGAATGTAGACGAATTGATAATTTCGTTTGGGAGAATTTCCGTGTAGTATATGCGTCACACCACCACTACATTATTGGCTGCTTAGTCTGTCGGTACGAACACAAACCGCTTTGCGAGTATTTGAAGTTTATTTTTTATACTAACACCACTTTCAGCACTGTTGCCTATTTCGCAGCGGCCAGTTGTATTGATGTATGCGGTCGGAGAACCACCGACCTTCGGCAGGAAAACTGGTAATCCTAGTCAATAATGATTTGTTTCGAACGCTCCTGTCACGTGCGGGGCTCGAATTTACAATCTCAGTGTTGACAGGCTAGTGATACAGTAGTTTAACTACTTAGACCACTAGGCAACCGAGTCCCCTGATTGGATTGCAGTACATTAAATAGAACATGTCCATAGTTATTGGTAACCAAAATATCCATGGCAGTTGAAGACTTCGACTTTGTTGCAACACATTATTTATAACCTTTACTTAATTCCTCCATCTTCAAAAGATAGATGGTTTGGAAGTTTGGTAGAAGCTGCAGAAATCTGGTTCAAAACAAAATAGATTTTTTTAAATTTTTTATGGTGATGTTTTTAGAGCTCATACATTAAGATACGATCTATATAAACTTATTGTATCTTTGATTATACATGAAAGGGAAAACAGGAACCGTATAACTACCACACAGTTAACAGACCAAATCGTCCACCATCACTCGACTCTAAATAATGTTTCCGAGTAAAGTAAAATGTCTTCCTGCGTCGGTTACCTTGTGAACTAGCACATAAAAATCCGACTTAGTGTGCCGGTCTAGAACAAAATAGGGCCCATATGCATATTGCATAACCATGTTCTTGTCTTGATATGCACAACATAGTTGCAAAATAGTTGGATGTTAAAATCCAATCGTCGTTACTTAATAGTTAAATATTGCCCAAGGGCACACTTTTCTTATACTGCTTATGACGTTTTAAAACTGAATCCGTTATTTGATTTTATGCCTAATGAAGGTGTGATGAGTTGAATCCTTTTCAACTGAATTTTACAGCATGTTATTATGTTGAATATGTTACCCCGACTGTCATACAAGTGAGAGGTTTAGCTAGCTATAAAACCAGCTCTAATCCACCATTTTCTCCAATCAGGAAATGCCTGTACCAAGTCATGAATATGACAGTTGTTTTCCATTCGTTTAATGTGTTTGAGCTTTTAATTTTGCCATTTGTTAAGGGACTTTCCGTTTTGAATTTCCTTGGAGTTCGGTATTTTTGTTATTCTACTTTCTTTTAGTGTAGGGTTGAGCGCTCACAGACATGTTAAACCCCATCACATACATAATATGTCTGTCCAATACCTGGAGCTTGTAATCCATTGGTTGTCGTTTCTTCTTGTCTGTTATAATTGTATTACGTCTGTTGTTGTGGTATAAATCCGGCCGTAGGTTTTCTTTTTTGAATTGTTTCTCACTATGTCACTTATTGTGAGCAC